ATGGTATTTCCATAGCCATTCTGAGATATATTGCCATGCAACTTCCATTGTTCCGTATTCATGACATACATATTCATTGTCATAATGCTTTGCATCATCATATAGCTAACATACTATTTGTGGCTCATCCACCGTTCATCATTATTTTATGTGTTACGCTAGCATCATCACACATCCTGGTACACTACCAAAGGCATACATATAGAGTCATATTGTTCTAAGCTATCGAGTTGTAGTATTGAGTTGTAAGTAAATAAAAGTGTGACGATCATCATTATTAGAGCATTGTGCCAGTGAGGAAAGGATGATGGAGACTATGATTCCCACAGAAGTCTGGATGAGATCCAGACAAAAATACAAAAAGAGGCCAAAAAGAGACCAACAAGAAAATAGAGAAACGGAGAGAAGGGGCAATGTTACTATACTTTTCCACACCTGTGCTTTAGAGTAGCACCATGCCTTTTCATATAAAGAGTCTCCTATGTTGTCACTTCCATATACTAGTGGTAGTTTCACGTTATAGAACTTGGCTTGTATATTCCGATGATGGTGTCGGGGAAACTGATCCACGAACACCTATGGGGCCGGCGGACCGGGCCCCTTTCGGTTCGGCGAGGGGCGGAGATCGCACGAAGAGCAGATCGAGGCGAAGCACAAGAGCAGTTTACCCAGCTTCAGAGCTCTCCGGAGAGATAATACTCCTACTGCTGCTTGTCTGATTGTATTGTGTTCTTGCTCAAGAGCGCTGAGTGCTACAGTACACTCTAGCGGCTAACGAGGCCGAGCGTGTGTGTGTGTTTTTCTGGGTTCCCTCCCTCCTCTACGTTGCGCATGGGCCTCCTTTTATATGCTCAAGGGGTCACCGACAGGTGGCAACGCAGACGAGGGTAAAAATGGAAAAGAAGTTGCGGTTGGTACAACCACCTGCACAGTGCATCCTACCTAACCCTGACGGCAGGGGACAAAGGCATTAAATGCCCGTCTGCGTCGCCCAAACAGTGTAAAAAGGGACCGCCAGGGGCGCCACCACCCGCCATGATGGCAGTCTTGTCAGCTTCGCATGCCACCGCGCACCGCTGGCTGCACAGCCTCTCGCCACGCGCGCCTGGAAAGGCCCCCAGAGCGACGCGTTGGTGGATGTGCTGGAGCGTGGGTACAGAGTGGTAGCCTGTCGCGGCAAGCACCTTGCCGCGGCTGTTGTCTTGTCGGGTCCGGAAGCTTGTCGCTCACCGGGCCTTGCCGGGATGCGCGGCGCGTCGCGGCAAGTTCCTTGAAATGCCTTGGTTGGCCTTCCCGGCAAGCTCCTCTTGCCGGGGCCTTGTCTCCTGAGCTTAAATACTTTGTTCTTGAATGGCTCCAAAGGAACCATGGAGGGCCTCGGCGGTCATCTGGCAAGCCTTGCCGCGGGGCGCTACAACTGCCCGTGCACAAGTTCGGGATACTAGGGTACCCCTACTCTAGTACACCGACAGATGGGATTCCTCATATGCCCGAGGTCTTCATGAGCAAGCAAGTTGGATGCACACCCACTTAGTTTCCGTTGAGCTGTCATATAGTTATAGCTCTTAGTGCATCCATTGCATGACAATACCTATTCTTGTTGATTAGTCGCGTCAATGCGAGACTATCTTCCTTTTTTACTTCTCCTTATTAATCTCTACCACCGCATTCTATTCCACCCACAGTGCTATCACTACAAGAAATATGTCAACTTGTGACCTTGACAATTGGTCACTGAAAGGTCATTGTTTTTCATTTGCGACCTTTTTGTGACCAAAAACAGAAGGTCAAAAGTTGGCCGTCGTAAACTGACATTCACGACCTTCTCCGTGAGAAGGTCGTAGACGTTTACGACCAAAACATGCCTACTATTCTGTTTTGGTCACTAGCAACCTCCCGAGGCCACGTAGGCATCCAACGTGGCAAGCTGATGTGGCACAAGAATTAGCCCGGTCCAATTAGGTTTTCTACATGGGCCTAGCCCAACAATTCGGCCTTTTTAATATTTATTTTTCCTATTAATTTTTGCTAACTACATGGGCCTGGCCCAGCAATTCAGCCTTTTTATTTCTAGATGCGGCCTTTTACAGCGTATGATCTTTTATTTTTTGCCATTTTATTTTCCACTGTTTTACATTTGTCCCGAATATCATACACTGGTCCCACATGTCAGAAATTTCAAATGTGCTCAAATTATTTTGATAAGTGGGTCGCACGAGTCATGTTTCCATTGCACACATTTTCAAATCACATACATAATTACTATTTCATATGAAACAGAAATTGTAATTCTGGAACATACATAAAATTCACAAACATAGAGAAGATACATTAATTCACATACATAATTACTATTTCATTCACAAACAGAGAGAAGATACATTAAATTCCCAGATAACCCAGCTATTATTACATAACTTGCTATATAAGAATGTCTTGGAGCTTCTTTGAACATCTTTCGTCTTGAATTTACTCAAAATATCTGCCAACAAGAAAACAGAACAACAAGGATAGGGTGAATAACAACAACAACATGTGATGGGGTGCTATTCCATCTAAACAAGAGACTGAACCCAACAAGCTAGATTCATTCAGCATCATCAACAATTCAGTAAAGTACTGCAGTTTAGAACTGATGAGAAAAAACAACTACACGGCTTCATAACTGAAATATTCAAGTGTACAAGTTACATTCCAGTAAACAAACTGTACAAGTTGACGATTCCCTGCTGCATATACATATCACTTGTGTCATGTTTGGGGGTTTAGAATGTACACAACATGTTTATGGTAGATGAACTGCAGCTGCTAGGAATAGTAAAGCAATGATGTACTGCCACTAATCAGCAAAAACATAACATTTTCTCAGAGTTAATGATAGCACATGGATAAAGATGGAAACAAAAAATATTTCTAATCTTGGAACCCAACATAGAAAATCAAAACGAGGGAGGGGCAGAGGTGGCGTGGAGGAGAAACGACCTTGAGCTGCTGCTCCTCTCCATGGTTATGTGTCACCCTCCATCTCCTGACTATGATCATCAACATCTACTACTAACAACTCCTTGTGCAATCCTACATTGCAGTAAAAATTCCTCGCCCTCCATTTACTCGCTTTACAGTACTCCTAATGCTTGGAGTAGTTCAAGCAGTACTGCAGTAAAACTACTCCTAATGCTACAACAGTTAACAGCAAGGGAAAGTGATGTTCAAAATTTACAGTAAACACTCCACTACACTGAATATTACTAAAACTTAATAGAATATAACTAAGATTTTTCATTTTCAGAATATGAAAGTCAGAAAATAAGCTTGCAAGCAAGTTTATGTAAGTAGTGCACACTGGAGTACAATACTTCTACAGATTTCTGCAAATAATTCATGATTTTCTAACTACTCCAAGATGTCCAGTTAACTAACTGGAAAAGTAACTAAACTTGCAAATTAAGAAAATCTTGTCAGACCACTTGCAATATCTTCGGTGACAGTACATGTTCAGAACAAACACTTACAATATCTACTGCAAGAACTTGTTTACTCCTGCATATTTGCTTGCATGTTCAGAATCTGCAAATATTCAGAAGCATGTTCAAAATACTTACTAAAAAGTACTGTTAAATGTTGAAAAGTTAAATCTTGTTCAATCTTGTTAAATACTCCAAGAAAAATTACTCCACACAAATATAGTTCAATCTTGTTAAATACTCTAAGCAAAATTACTGGAGTACTGCAGTACTACAATTTAAATGTAATCCAAGCAAATTGAGAAGTTAATAGTACTGCTGCTAACTTGGAGTAGCTTTGACTATGTACAGAGCAAGATGGAGGGTCTAGCTTACTGCTGCTACTCCACATATCTAATTTTACTTAACAAAGCAAGATAAAGTAACCCAAAAAATTAACAGAGCAAGCAAATGTACTCTAAATGGCAGTTCACCAGAGATTTTCAAGTTAAAAATACTCCCAGGGGTAAACAACAATGACATGGACGAAGTTAAGGATGGATGTTGTAAATTAATCCAGTAATTCTTTTTTGTTCTCATATTTTTCACCCTCTAGACACTGCCTAGAGCGCTTACAAGATGACAAAGTTAATTTTGCATAACCATATGGATTCTTAACTTCTTCGGTAAGGGGGGCACATTTACAGCTAATCTATTATATTATCAAAAAGTAACTATGTATAGATGTCTCCATACCCCATATGATTTCTAGACTACCATGCAAAGCAATGAGTTGAGTCCAATTCCTACACGGCCATGTACCTGTAAAAAAAGAAAACTACGCCTATCTATGACATACGTTCCCAAACAGCCTAGCAAAGCGAGGCAAACAAGCTGTGGATCCTAATTATAATGGCCGAGAACTAACAAAATTTGCTCACGTAATATGTGAAACACGCACATATTCGTTTGCACATCCAAAGTGTGTCATGTACTGGAGATGCCTCTGACCGAGAAGTGCAAATTAGAATCACGTATGGAAGGACACTTCCATCAGCATGTTTGCTATTAAAAAAATCATCACGTTTGTTGTACTGACACACAATCAGTTTCCAATTATATCTCAAAACCAATCAACACAAGCTAGCCATGCTACACATCCCAGCTAATTGCAACTTGGCGTTGCAACTTCAGATCCCAGTGGCTGGCTACTTTAACAGTATTTATTACAAGTAAAAAAACACAACAGAAAATCCTAGACAGTGAAGAACATATTCAGCACGCACGCTGATTAATCACTTGACACACAATGCAATGCAATGCAACGCAAGCAACAGGTAGCTAGAAGTTAACAAGACAATAAATAAATCCTTGACAGTGGAGAACATATTCAGCACGCACGCTAGATAGAAGAATTTAGTGGCTAACTGAAACTGAACCTGAACCTGAATGAATGGATGGTCCTCACAAATTGCAATAGTGGAGCCGCATGATTGCAAGTAAGTAGTGGTGTGGGGATTAGGTAGTGGTGTGGGGATTAGGAGAGGGGCTGCTGCCTTACACGAGGATGTTGAGGGGGAGGCCGGTGGCGTCGAAGTCGCCGTCGAACTTGCGGACGGAGGCGAGGGAGGAGAGGTCCAGCTCCATGAGGTCGAGGCTGGCGGCGGGGGACTCGGCGAGGACGGCCTGGCGCACGTCCTCTGCGGCGGCGAGGTTGCGGACGGCCATGACGACATGGGCCCTGCGCGCCGCCAGCACCCGCGCCGTCTCCGCGCCGATCCCGCTCGATGCACCCGTGACTATTGTGGTGAGGCCGGACGCGGAGATGCCGGCGGTGACGTGGTCGACGGTGGAGGCCCAGGAGAAGCCCGAGGCGCCCTTCCGGCTGAAGATCCAAGGCAGCATCTTTTCTTCTCTTCTCTTCTCCGATGAATGGATTCCACCAACGACGAAGCGGAGGCGGCGGCCGGCTGGCGGAGAAGAATTCCAAGAAGAGGAAGGAGTCCACCATTCGCATCGGGGTGGCGCGCTGCAAGGTCGGGGACGCGAGCATCCATGGCGGCGAAGTGCACTGTTTGAGACAGAGAGAGAAATCGAGATGTGTGAGAGAGAGAAAGGAGGAAGAAAGAGAGCACGGGAAGAAGAGAACAGAGAAGAAGGGTGACACTCATCTGCTGGCCCCGGCAAGCTGTGGCTGGTGGTCGCCGGCGGCGGCGTGCAAAAACACAGGAGGAGCTCCTCTCGTGGGGCTCGGGTGTGGGGAATCCTGGGAGGAGGCTGCGAGGACGGGCGCACTCGGGCGCTCGCTCGATCTCCTCGGACGTAGAGGTGGCCGGGAGATGCAGAGAGGGGAGGGAGGGACGAGGTCGGCGGTGGTGGGTGAGGAGGACGGCGAGGTCGGCGGTGGGTGGGAGAGGACTG